TGTTATAAGCAATTCTCGTTGTTTTGTCTTTAGTTTCGCAAGGTATGTGCGCTCTAACTGGCAAAAACAACCGTCTGGCATATCATGTCAAGAAAATATGCTGCGGCAAATAATCCTGATACCATTTTTACAGATGGGCTTGGAATCTCCTTATTCATCTATAACCTGACGTCACTTGGATTGAGCATTATAAATTTACTCCTATGTATATCTATCTACCAAATCTGAGCTAAATAGATCCAGGTGAGACCCAGGCTTTATAACTTCAAACGTAGTAAGCCTGGGGGGCAATATGGGAATTTTGCCGGGGGGAAATTGATCTATAAAAGAATAGGGCGCTTCTCCCGTCAAAATAAACGTCAAAGCTAGACGCTATCTATTGACCGTTGCCACAAACTAGCGATCTCGGGTCGGTAACAATGCCACAACACCAGCTTTGGAAAACTGAGAAGCGTCACCTAGAGATCATGGTTTCTGGCTAATGGCCTTCGTCAACCTAGGGCGGACTTTATTCCATAAGATATACACAGTATCAAATGGAATCTTTCACAACGTCATTTTGACGGGAGAGACGACCTATGCTTTTATATATATAAAAATAATAATGGTCGTTTCTCCCATCAAAATAGACGCTAAAACTGAGCGCCATCTATTGACCGCCTCTGCAAACTAGTGAGGAGGGTTATAGCTTTGTCACGACTTGAGTCCGCTAGTTTGCGGACATATATATTGAAACCACACATATATATGGTTTCAATGAAGTCATTAAAACATCAAGATATGACCACGTTATATTCACCTTACGTGAGCTGAAAGATGTTAAATAATGGAACTTGGACTGGGAGAGGTCGGAGATAACATAAAGTTCCGACAGGATGATAATAATGTACCAAAAATGGCACCTCCCCCTTTAAAATTACATCAAAATAATGTATTTTGTTCATTACCCAGTACAAAACGTAAAGGTGGTGATATAGAATGAGCAATAACACTAGTTTCGGAAAATTTATACAAAAGCTAACCTGTATACCATGGCATTTTAAAGGGAGAGGTGCCTCTAGCTAGGTGAATACCATCCACCCACAACTCTATCTAGCCAGAGACTTACTGGCAAGTAAGCCAGTACTTGGCTCCACTCCACTAGAACTTGTTTACCTCCCGGTGTAGAGGTTGCCAACGGTCCACGGCGTACCGTGCGTTCCAAGCATCAACACTGCCCAGTACAATCCACGACGTTGTTTATACAAACTGGTGAACTAAGAACCATGTTTTCTATCGTAGCTTTAACTCAAGAGGCCGAAGGTTAAATGAACTCTACCAGCTTGCGTCAATGACCAAGATATTGGAGAATCTGACCATCGAAGACATTCAATGACCAAGATATTGGAGAATCTGACCATCGAAGACTTCAATAACCAAGATATTGGAGAATCTGACCATCGAAGACTTCAATGACCAAGATATTGGAGAATCTGACCATCGAAGACTTCAATGACCAAGATATTGGAGAATCTGACCATCGAAGACTTCAATGACCAAGATATTGGAGAATCTTACCATCGAAGACTTCAATGACCAAGATATTGGGGAATCTGACCATCGAATACTTCAATGACCAAGATATTGGAGAATCTGACCATCGAATACTTCAATGACCAAGATATTGGAGAATCTGACCATCGAAGACTTCAATGACCAAGATATTGGGGAATCTGACCATCGAAGACTTCAATGACCAAGATATTGGAGAATCTGACCATCGAAGACTTCAATGACCAAGATATTGGAGAATCTGACCATCGAAGACTTCAATAACCAAGATATTGGAGAATCTGACCATAGAAGACTTCCAATGACCAAGATATTGGAGAATCTGACCATCGAAGACTTCCAATGACCAAGATATTGGAGAATCTGACCATCGGAGACTTCAATGACCAAGATATTGGAGAATCTGACCATCGAAGACTTCAATAACCAAGATATTGGAGAATCTGACCATCGAAGACTTCAATGACCAAGATATTGGAGAATCTGACCATCGAAGACTTCAATGACCAAGATATTGGAGAATCTTACCATCGAAGACTTCAATGACCAAGATATTGGGGAATCTGACCATCGAAGACTTCAATGACCAAGATATTGGAGAATCTGACCATCGAATACTTCAATGACCAAGATATTGGATAATTTGACCATCGAAGACTTCAATGACCAAGATATTGGGGAATCTGACCATCGAAGACTTCAATGACCAAGATATTGGAGAATCTGACCATCGAAGACTTCAATGACCAAGATATTGGAGAATCTGACCATCGAAGACTTCAATGACCAAGATATTGGAGAATCTTACCATCGAAGACTTCAATGACCAAGATATTGGATAATCTAACCATCGAAGACCTCAATGACCAAGATATTGGAGAATCTGACCATATCCATCCATTTATATCTATAATCGTAATCTTCCCCGAGAGTTCCGGTTGAGAATATAAGGCACAACGCCATTCTTGAAGTTCTTCAATGTTTTTGCAGAAAGAATTCTCAGAGGTCTCCATCGGAGAACAGTAGGACTAATAATTGGAAGAAAAATAATAAATGCCATTGGTGCAGATGATCAAGCTTTAGTATGGGGAAGTCCTAAAACCTTGTTTCAATGAGGCTAGAAAAAAATATAATGGAGGATAAGGTTTCAGCTGGTGTAGGATTCAATCCAATAGGTAAAGTATGGGGAAACAAGCGGCGGCATAGGTAGACAGGGAGATAAGTGACTTATCAGCGGTGATATTATTCCTAGCGCTGAGAGAACTTATCATTTAAAGGACAAATCGATCTGATTGCCTCTCGTTGTTACAGCCAGCTTCCATGACGGTATTCTTGAACACGACTTTGGCCAGCGCGTTAATACGTCAATCTACTCCTCTTGAAGCCATTTGGATTATGAAATCGAGGCTCTATTGCCAATATTCTCGAGTGGGCAGATCTACACGGGCCATCCTCTCGCTGAAAGTGAGAATTGCTGTACACACAGTTTAAAGGCTACTATTTCCATTGTAAATACGCCACTACGTATCTACAAATGTAGAATCAGTTCGAATCTTAGATCTACAAAGATGCCCCATTCACTTGTACTTACTGATCTGTTTGAGGAACCGTTAGAGAAGTTTTTTGTTGTTGTTATTTTGTGTTTTTTAAAACAAATTTCAATGTGGTTGTCGACAGATTATACAATCTGTTCTGTTGCAGCATACTTAAGAAATAAGAGGTATGGGGGCAATGGTGAAAAACTAGGAGAACGCAATATACGTGTTTTTCTATTTTTGGTTGGTATGCGCGGCAGTACGTAGTGGCGTTGAACGACTTCGTTAACGACTTAGCTGAAAGAGCAGAAGGAGAAGAAGAGAATTGGTTTTTGAGGGTTTTTTTTTTTTTTAAACCTGACAAAAGTGGATAGAGTATGAAGAAAGGAGGAACAATACAGGGATGGAGATGGCGCGCAAATAGAACATGGTGAGCAAATTGAATATGGCAAAAGAATTAGATAGATCAATAAAGAAGGATAATCAAGGTGTGAATAAACATATTGATTGTTTGAGCAGAAAGAACTTGGAAAAAGGATGGAAGGGATGAAGAAAGGAAGGTTCAACACAAAAAAATATATATATTGGAATTAATATGTTTAGCTGAAGGGGGAATACAAAATGAAGAAAAGGGCTATCAAAACTGGAGTGAAAAACAGTATTGACTTTTTTAAGTAGAGAAAACTTGGTAAAATGATGGGATGGATGAAAAAAGGGAAGAACAAGACAGAAATGAAGCTTGGATTTGTTTGAGTAGGTGGAAAATAATGGTAGGGACGAAAAGGAGCAAATGAGAAGGGTGTTGGCTTGTTTGTGAACAGGATTTTGACAAAAGAATAGGATAGTGGAGGAAAGGATGTTTGTGAACAGGATTTTGACAAAAGAATAGGATAGTGGAGGAAAGGATGTGCAAGAGAGGGGAAATAAAGAACAATTTTGTTTTGTTAGAGTAGAGGTAGAATTTGGCAAAAGATAAGATGTGTGGGTGAAGATAGGATAGATAGTTGTATGGGATGAAGAAAGGCCAGGTAGTGAGAACTTGGTAAAAGGATGGGATGGAAGAACAAGACAGGAATGGAGCTTGGATTTGTTCGAGTAGGTAGAAGTTAACGAAAGGGTGACATGAACGAAAAGGGGCAAATGCTGGGATAAGAATAGCATGTTTGTGAATGAAGATTTCGACAAAAGAATGGGATAGTTAAAAGAAAGATGTGCAAGAGAGGTGGAATGAAGAACAATTCCGTTTTGTTGAAGTAGAGGTAGAATTTGGCAAAAAGGTGAGATGTGTGGGTGAAGATAGGCGAGAGAGACATGAATAACTTCATCAGTTTGTAGGGCGGGACGGATGAAGAAAGGCACACAGGAATGGAGGGAAAACCGTTCGAGGAAGACCGCTATCACAGACCTTGAAAAAGGATGTGATGTAACAGGGAGCTTTAGATGTCCCATGTCTCTAAGGTCAAGGTCATCCAGATCGACGTCCAGTCTACGGTCAAAGTTCGTTCTTTTTTTTTTTTTTTCAACACGTCTCGAAGATGCCACGTTTGGTCACACATCCCACTGTTTGAATGTTCTCTGTAAAATATCAAGTTGAGTCTTGTAACACATCATCGCAGCCAGTCGCAACCCTTACTCACCATGGACCGGTACTAGGCCGATCTCGGGGTTTATATAGGGAGGGCACCTCTGCTGTAAAAAAAAATCCTAAAAACAATGTATTTTGTTTCTCATCCCTGATCACAGTTAACATGTGCCACATGATAAACAAAATTAATTGTTTTGATGCATTTTTTAACAGAAGAGGTGCTCTCATGCACTATTTTCTTCCTTCCGCAAAAAAAAAAAAAAAAAAAAAAAAAAAAAAGATACATATAGGTTAACCCAGGTTCCTGGAGCGTTCTATAAAATAAAAAGAGCCTACAGAACCCAGTGTCCCCAAATGATCACCCTCCCAAGTACTGATCTGGCCCGAGTTTGCTTAACTTTGGCGATCGGACGAGAACCCGTGTTTTCAATATGGTATGGCCGTAGGCATTATATATACATGCCTATACGCCAGGAAATATGCAAATTCAAATGGTGAAGCTATATTAAAAGAATAAAATCTGAATAATTTTTGAAATTGTCGCATAGAAACACGAGAAAAGTCAAACCTCAGGGATGATATGGGAAGTCTATTTTAATCAAAACAATCACCTTATTTATATAAAAAAGATCAGAACGACCAGGTGTGAGACACGAACTATAATATATTTATAAAAACGCAGGTAACAAGAGAAATATGGTAAACACAACAGATTTGTAAAATCAATATAAACTGTATATAAAATAGAAGCAATTCTACAAGTGTGTGTATACTTGTAATTAATAATCTAAAGGAAAAATATCGTAGCTCCGGATCCTTTTACTGAATAGTACTGATGCCCACTGCCATCTATCGGGAAAAGTACAAACTGAACGTTAAATTTTATTTCCCGAATATTGGCCAATACATTTTATTGAAATATCGAGACAGCCACGTACGCGATAAGGTCTGTTGGTCCTCGTCAGCGAGGGGAAAGCTGTACATTGAAGACACAACAAGAGGATTCTCACTGTTTCTCTTTTAGTTGAAGAATATAGTGTATTTAAGATAGAAAAAATCCACGTTAAAACAGGATACAGTATTAAAAAGAACAGACACGTTCCCGAGATCCAACCATCACCTGTTCAGCATGTAACAGATTCCAGAGACACGAGCGTAAGTAAATTATTAAAAATACAAAATCGTGTTAGGCGAAGTTTATTGTATGGTTTTTATTTAGTACCAAGCTCTTTCGAGTATTTCTAATCTTCTACAGGAGTAAAAAGGGAGGGAGAAGTCCGACCACACCCCTGGACCCTTGGAATATTTGACCAAATTCTGGTCCAAGGTGACTAAAGTGGCAACGGCACCCATTTTCCAATGAATAGAAAATTGCTACTGCTATGATAGAGATGCATGGAGATATCTGAGACTCTCCATTGGACACAACAATACAGTATACACACCCAAGGTAGAGAACATTGTTGTGATAGAGATGCATGGAGATATCTGAGACTCTTCATTGGACACAACAATACAGTATACACACCCAAGATAGAGAACATTGTTGTGATAGAGATGCATGGAGACATCTGAAACTCTTCATTGGACACAACAATACAGTGTAGGATTAAAACTCTTAAAATCACGATCATTAAAAAACAATAATAAACATTAAGAGGAGCTTCTTGTGTAAATTTCTTTAATACCGCAAGCTTTCGAACAAAACGTTCTTCAACGGGCGTGGATAGTAAAACCGTACTAACCCCATGGAGATATCTGAGACTCTTCATTGGACACAACAATACAGTATAGACACCCAAGATAGAGAACATTGTTGTGATAAAGATGCATGGATACATCTGATACTCTTCATTGGACACTACAACAACAAGATTAAAAATCTTATTTTTAAATTCTTGTAGAATAGAAGGCAGAAATGTTGGAAAGCTCGGCTATACAAAAACCTTAGCAAGAAACGTTTCGCCTCAAGATTTTGTACTTCTGATAGTTCACTGCTCCAGGTGATTATTCAACTCAAAAGAATAAGTATGCTACCACCCTATTTGGAATAGTTCTAATCCAGACATTGGTAAAACAGCCAGTTTGTTCGATGTGTGTGTGAAACACCTTCTCATTGGTTCATCAGATATCTATGGCAACTACCTTGGTTGATTGTTGGGGCACATAGCCCGCGGCACGCTGAAGAGGATCCAACATCCCTAAACGTCTTCTTCTTTCTTATCTCTACTCAATCATATTAGGGTATCAAGTTATGACCCTTGATGGTGTCTGTTTGACAACCATCATGACTGGGAAAGTAGAATGCGTCTGCCTTTGTCATTAAGATCCCCTAAACGTAGTTTTCTTTATTTATAATTTTGTAAAAAAATTATGGCCAATATTTTCTCTGGAATAACAAATGAAAACATTAAGACGCGAATGTTTCTTTCACAAATAAATCAAACTTCTACTGTTCTTACTACGAAGAAAAAAATATTGGGAGGGCTTGGCTCATCACTGGTGATCCTTCCCGATATTTTTTCATCGCAGTAAGGACAGTAAAATTTTGATTTATTTGTGAAAGAAACACTCGCATCTTATAATCTTTTCATTTGTTATATATAGATGGTGCGTTATTGCTTTATATTCTCTGGAATCAAAATCAATGCTCATCATTATTCCGATAGGTTGCTTAATCTATCAGCAATATTCAATTGCACGATGAAGAGATACTTTTTAAATGTATATTGCAAGTAAAATTGTAAAATGACTTAAGTCAGAAGAACAACCTACGTATATCCAGGAACCACTATACGTACCAAATGTATTCAATATCCCAATCTGGATAAGTTACCGCGCCTATAAAAATATACCAAACGGGAAGAATTCAAAAGTGAACTTCCAATTGTATTAGACAGACCAAACCGCTGGGAGGGTTTTATGAGCTTGTCATCACAGAGAAAGGACAGTAGAAAGTTGTTGTTAAAATAAAAAAATCGTTATATTTGTGTTAGAGACTGCTTTACTGTAAATACATCACAGTGGTCAGTCACAAATGACGAGGTGTCAGTGGAGAAAACAGATGTCTCATTAAAATTCCAAGAAAACCTGAATTGGATGGGCCACGTGCTAGACATGATAAGACCCCAGATATCAAGACCTACTTTATTTCTAGACCAACTGGAATTCTAAACACCATTAGAAAGCTACAGTTGTGACTGGTTGATAGGTTGGTTGAAGTTGTAGATGCACCTGAAATGTTGATCGTCTACCCATCTGGTACACTTTACAAGGTGTCAGAACCCCGTTTGGTTACTTGCACTCATTGGTGGTTGATGTTGTCGTGTCCAATGAAGAGCCTCAGATATCTCCATACATCTCTATCACAGCAATGTTCTCTATCTTGGATGTGTAAAGCTGCTGTTCTGAGTCCATGTCAATTTTAGGTTGTTGTTTTTGTTTTCGTGTCCAATGAAGAGCCTCAGATGTCTATATACATCTCTATCACAGCAGTGTTCTCTATCTTGGATGTGTAAAGCTGCTGTTCTGGGTCCATGTCAATTTTAGGTTGTTGTTTTTGTTGTGTCCAATGAAGAGCCTCAGATGTCTCCATACATCTCTATCACAGCAATGTTCTCTATCTTGGATGTGTAAAGCTACTGTTCTGGGTCCATGTCAATTTTAGGTTGTTGTTTTTGTCGTGTCCAATGAAGAGCCTCAGATGTCTCCATACATCTCTATCACAGCAATGTTCTCTATCTTGGATGTGTAAAGCTACTGTTCTGGGTCCATGTCAATTTTAGGTTGTTGTTTTTGTCGTGTCCAATGAAGAGCCTCAGATGTCTCCATACATCTCTATCACAGCTATGTTCTCTATCTTGGGTGTGTAAAGCTACTGTTCTGGGTCCATGTCAATTTTAGGTTGTTGTTTTTGTCGTGTCCAATGAAGAGCCTCAGATGTCTCCATACATCTCTATCACAGCAATGTTCTCTATCTTGGGTGTGTAAAGCTACTGTTCTGGGTCCATGTCAATTTTAGGTTGTTGTTGTTGTCATGTCCAATGAAGAGCCTCAGATGTCTCCGTACATCTCTATCACAGCAATGTTCTCTATCTTGGGTGTGTAAAGCTGCTGTTCTGGGTCCATGTCAATTTTAGGTTGTTGTTGTTGTCATGTCCAATGAAGAGCCTCAGATGTCTCCATACATCTCTATCACAGCTATGTTCTCTATCTTGGATGTGTAAAGCTACTGTTCTGGGTCTATGTCAATTTTCTGTTGTTGTTGTTGTCGTGTCCAATGAAGAGCCTCAGATGTCTCCCTACATCTCTATCACAGCAATGTTCTCTATCTTGGGTGTGTAAAGCTGCTGTTCTGGGTCCATGTCAATTTTCTGTTGTTGTTGTTGTCGTGTCCAATGAAGAGCCTCAGATGTCTCCCTACATCTCTATCACAGCGGTATGGTGTATTCTATCTTGGGAGTGTAAAGCTGCTGGATCCATGTCAATTTTCTGCAAGACCGCGGCCATTGCTGGACATGAGAATATGTGGGTAGGTGTTAGTTCCACATCAGGACAATTGTTATATGTCCTGTAGGTTCTTGTGCCCCATCTGGATGTATTGTCATTCCTTTATAATGCTTCATTCTGAGTCTCATGATTGTTTTTGTACTTGCACTCACTGGTGGTGTTGGTAATGGAATAAATTGGAATGAACTTTGAAACCGTTTATTATTTTGAAACAATCAATAGATTTAAATCTCCTGGACATAAACAATACAACAGGTATTCATGGTAAACGGATTGCGGATTTCGACAAATTAGAAAGAGGGATCATATACTATAGTTAGCTGAAGAAGGGCTTGCCCGAAAGCTTCCTTTAATCGCGTTAATAAAAAGAGTTGCGGCGATATATGATCTCCTCTTTCTAATACAACAGGTCTCTGGAGATGAGTTATTCATACAATCACAAGCTTTCGGAAATCTCTGTTCTTCTACAGGAGGAGTACATAAAACGAATGATAATAAACGCCCTTGGATACTTCGCTTAACGGCGTTTATTATTTTTCGTTTTATGTACTCCTGTAGAAGGGCAGAGATTCCCGAAAGCTCTCTTGAGATTGTATGAATAATATGGAAATAGACTCATCTCCAGCGACCTGTTGTATTATTAAATTTTGAAACTATATTTTTAAATATCCCTAGTACACGTGGTACAGGCCATGGTAATCATGGTGGGTTGGCTTTTACTGTAAGTGCAACACAAGTCTACACATGTGAAAAGCAGTTCGACTTTACACTTATATATGTTAGATAATAAAAGGCATATATTGGATAATCCAATATATGCCTTTTATTATCTAATGAATTAAGTATGGATTGCTCGATTTTCAAAACTTATATATGTGTCAGAGCCCCATTTGGTTACTTGCACTCGCTGGTGGGTTTGGTCTTTTGCAAAAAAC